GTCTTGAACGTTTTCCAGGCCAAGGACCCCCAAACTGATGACAAGATGGAGCGGGGACCCCCTTATTAAATATATTGTATGAAATTGTGTTATATCAACCTGGTCCTATAGTAACTCTATTACAGATGGAGTAATGTAACGAAAGTAATTTCTCCCTGGGATTATTAAAGTATTTCTGATTCTGATTCCTGGTTGATGGGACAGTTGTTGTGAATGAAACGGTGCCCAGCTTGAAAGAGCTCCTGTGTGTTGCTGAATGTGTGCATTGATGACTGAAAGACATCTTCTGCCTCCATTTATCTGTTTACTACAGTGTGTTGAATTCATGTTAATGTGGATTCAAAGACATTTCAATTCAGGAGGGAATATAAAAAATTTAAAAAATGAATCAACCAAAAGTTTTGCGACCCCCATGCAGTACCTCCGCGGACCCCCTAGGGGTCGCGAACCCCCTGTTGAAGACCTCTGCCCTAGACCCTAGGCTGATTTACCACAAAGACGTGTCTGTTATTGTCAGCAGTTAGCATGTGTTAGCGAAATGCTAACGTCACCCTAACAACTAAGCTGATTTACCACAAAGATGCTTCTGTTATTGTCAACAGTTAGCATGTGTTAGCGAAATGCTAACATCACCCTAGACCCTAGGCTGATTTACCACAAAGACACGTCAGTTATTGTCAACAGTTAGCATATGTTAGCGAAATGCTAACTTGACCCTAACAACTAAGCTGATTTACCACAAAGATGCGTCTGTTATTGTCAACAGTTAGCATGTGTTAGCGAAATGCTAACGTCACCCTAACAACTAAGCTGATTTACCACAAAGATGCTTCTGTTATTGTCAACAGTTAGCATGTGTTAGCGAAATGCTAACATCACCCTAGACCCTAGGCTGATTTACCACAAAGACACGTCAGTTATTGTCAACAGTTAGCATATGTTAGCGAAATGCTAACTTGACCCTAACAACTAAGCTGATTTACCACAAAGATGCGTCTGTTATTGTCAGCAGTTAGCATGTGTTAGCGAAATGCTAACTTGACCCTAATAACTAAGCTGATTTACCACAAAGACACATCTGTTATTGTCAACAGTTAGCATATGTTAGCGAAATGCTAACTTGACCCTAATAACTAAGCTGATTTACCACAAAGACACATCTGTTATTGTCCACAGTTAGCATATGTTAGCGAAATGCTAACTAGACCCTAACAACTAAGCTGATTTACCACAAAGATGCGTCTGTTATTGTCAGCAGTTAGCATGTGTTAGCGAAATGCTAACTTGACCCTAATAACTAAGCTGATTTACCACAAAGACACATCTGTTATTGTCAACAGTTAGCATATGTTAGCGAAATGCTAACTTGACCCTAATAACTAAGCTGATTTAGCACAAAGACACATCTGTTATTGTCAACAGTTAGCATATGTTAGCGAAATGCTAACTTGACCCTAATAACTAAGCTGATTTACCACAAAGACACATCTGTTATTGTCAACAGTTAGCATATGTTAGCAAAAATGCTAACTTGACCCTAACAACTAAGCTGATTTACCACAAAGATGCGTCTGTTATTGTCAGCAGTTAGCATGTGTTAGCGAAATGCTAACTTGACCCTAATAACTAAGCTGATTTACCACAAAGACACATCTGTTATTGTCAACAGTTAGCATATGTTAGCGAAATGCTAACTTGACCCTAATTACTAAGCTGATTTACCACAAAGACACATCTGTTATTGTCAACAGTTAGCATATGTTAGCGAAATGCTAACTTGACCCTATCAACTAAGCTGATTTACCACAAAGATGCGTCTGTTATTGTCAGCAGTTAGCATGTGTTAGCGAAATGCTAACGTCACCCTAACAACTAAGCTGATTTACCACAAAGATGCGTCTGTTATTGTCAACAGTTAGCATGTGTTAGCGAAATGCTAACATCACCCTAGACCCTAGGCTGATTTACCACAAAGACACTTCAGTTATTGTCAACAGTTAGCATGTGTTAGCGAAATGCTAACTTGACCCTAATAACTAAGCTGATTTACCACAAAGACACATCTGTTATTGTCAACAGTTAGCATATGTTAGCGAAATGCTAACTTGACCCTAATAACTAAGCTGATATACCACAAAGACACATCTGTTATTGTCAACAGTTAGCATATGTTAGCGAAATGCTAACTTGACCCTAACAACTAAGCTGATTTACCACAAAGATGCGTCTGTTATTGTCAGCAGTTAGCATGTGTTAGCGAAATGCTAACTTGACCCTAATAACTAAGCTGATTTACCACAAAGACACATCTGTTATTGTCAACAGTTAGCATATGTTAGCGAAATGCTAACTTGACCCTAATTACTAAGCTGATTTACCACAAAGACACATCTGTTATTGTCAACAGTTAGCATATGTTAGCGAAATGCTAACTAGACCCTAACAACTAAGCTGATTTACCACAAAGATGCGTCTGTTATTGTCAGCAGTTAGCATGTGTTAGTGAAATGCTAATGTCACCCTATGTTAGCATAGTCACCAGTTAGCATCATTACCAGTTGGCATATGTCAGCGACTTGCTAACAGTGCCACTGCCTCCTGGTGGGTGGTAGAGGTAGTGCAGTGGAGTCCTGAATCTATGATTTATAGTATTTATCAGGACTGTATCAGGTCTAGTAACATCTGCTTGAAATAAACGTCCATGCATTTCTTTTAAGGCTTGAGAAGTTTGCTTTAAAATTGCTCTGATTGTCCTGGATCTAATAATTGTTCAGGTAGAACCAGGCTTTTAGCTTGAAATATTTCATAGGGTGCACCCTTTGCGTTGTGTGGGGGGGTCCAGGGTGTCCTCCCCTGGAAAATCCTGAAATTTAGACTGAAACGCTTTCCTGCATTTTTTACTTTTTGTCTTATTTCCAACCCTACTTTTGTCCAGATTATGGGAAGTAAGTGTGCTTGACTAAAGTTGGAAATTTCATAAGAAAGACATGAGATCATTTTTAGTTAGAAAGTGTAATGCTACGTTCACATTGCAATTTGAGCAGCAAAAGAGCATCTGCTGCTTCATTTCTGATGTTTGTCCACATGAAGGTCAGACGTCCAGTAAAGTGTGTCCAGATCCATCTGATGCTTCTGCTGCTCCTGTGTTCAATGGCAGAGAGCGGCTTTGCTATATTTGCTGTGATCAGTGGGTATAAAGTAGTTTGAATATGTTTTTAAGTGAGAAAGTCCTGAAAACATCATCTGTTTAGTCAGTTCATCCAGATTACCATCCTGCCTTCAAATATTATTTCTCTGTTGGAGCCGCTCAGACCCCCACATACCGGCGGTGCGCTGTCACTGGGAATCTCCAGCAGCAGCTGCCTCAGGCCTGGTCACCTCTTGGCGGTTTTCCCCTACTGTTGGTGGCAGCTGGAAGTAGATATTAGCATTTTTCATGTATGTGGTACAAACCGCATGCACTAGGATAATAAAGCGAACATATTTTGCTGACAGGTTTCGATATTTTAAGTTGATAAACTGTTTCAGGGGAGCGATCATAGCACTCTGCATCACATGTGTCTGTCTCCCTGCCAGCTCCCAGATCAGCTTCTCTGATTTGTCCAACTCCAGCAGCTGCTGCATGTAAAACTTTGAACATTTGAGTGAAGATTCCGGGGGGGAAGGTTAGGGCATACCGAAGCTGTACATCTCACAAACAGGGAGCAGAATCTAAGCCCGTACTCATTGTTAGATAAAAGCCTGGGTAAAAGTTGGTTCTAAACCCTCCTGGCTTCAGATCTTAAATCAGAATCAGGAAAAAGATTTATATATAAAAAAAATTAAATAATAATAATAAATGCTCTATGATCCAGCCCTGGATCTTCCCATTGGGCTCCGATTCAGCTCAGATTTCCTTCAGTGAGCTTCAATTTATTGCAGAACTCCATCAAATGTAGAAACAAAGGAAAACAGATGATTTCTGACTGAACTTGGTAGAAAGTGGGTAAGAGGAAGTCCATTTTCTCACTTCCTGTTGTGCAGCACGCTCTCACTGCAGCGCTGACTGAGAGGGAAAGTAGAGGAACGTAGAAAGAGGAAGATAAAGAGTCAGACGGAAAGGCTGAGATCAGCTGGTGCCCAGCTTAACTGGAGCTGTCAGTGCTCTAAACATCGCCTTATTGGGGAGCAGCTATTGGTCAGTGCTCTTCAGTAAGACGGGATTCAAACTTTGAAGGTGTTGAGTGATTTTTATATTAAATGACATTTATAAAAGAAAATTGATATTGTTCCAAATTAGAACGGACCGTTCATGCTTTTTAAAAATCAGCTTTCTAATTTCAAAATATTACCTCCCTGCAACAATAATGGAACAACAGTCCCTCCATACAGCTCAGTTTAAACAGAACTCACCAATTAAGACATTCCATAATATAAGAGGACAGTTCCATGGTGCTGAGCTTTGCTCTTTGGGCAGCTGCAGCCACAGGCTGTGGTGAACACACCCCCTTCGTGTCAGTTTACTACAGTCTGTTGAATTCATGTTAATGTGGATTTAAAGACATTTCAATTAGTGGAAGAAAATTGCAGGGGCAATATGAAAAAAAGTCTAATCAAACAAAACTTTTGCGACCCTCTTGCAGTACCTCCATGGACCCCCTAGGGGTCATGGGCCCCCTGTTGAAGACTTCCGCTCTAGAATGTGAGCCTTTGGCTCGTTAAATCTGTTGGATACTGAATGGAAAAAAATCCTCATATGTGGTGGGATGAAGAATTTGGGACACAGAAGACTGGACTGAATTTAGCGGTTTCTCACTAATTGAGCCTATCATCCTGTGTTTGAGAGAGTTGAGTGGGAGTGTAGCGTAGCGCGCTAACATTTTCTGGGTGGTTATCTGGGCTTTACTGGGAGGTTACTAGTTAGCACGCCACCTGCACTGTTCCTCCTCCAGCTCCGTGTTTGGGTCTGGGTTTTCTACTGTCCTGTGAGTTTTTATCTTTATGTTTTTCTCCCTCTGCAGATACAAGCCCTTCTTTCCATTCCAAGTGCAGCCTCCGCCGGGTTCAGCCTGTGACTTGGACCTGTCTGTCCAGGACAGCCGGCTGGTGGAAGGAAAACTCAGAGTCACTCTCATCGAATGCAGCAGGTTGGTTCTTCTCCATTTTCTCCCTATCTGATTGATGTTGATGTCTTTAATGGACTCAGGAATAAGATTGGTTTAATAAACATTTTCATACTGAAACATTGAATATAGACGGTTGAATTGATAGCGGAGATTAACTTTAAAGTCGTAGGGAAATGGCTGTTCCAACGGTTGCGTTTCCAAATTCTCCCGAGTGGTGCCTGACTTTACATGACTGAATAAAGTGAAAGTGATTGTTAGATTATCAAGAGAGCGGGATTGTTGTGGCGGAAGGTTCACAAGCAAGTTTGATTGTGGCCAGTCTCTCTAAAGAATCTTGCTAACCAGTTAGCAACTTAGTGCTAGTAGGTTCCCAATGGGAAATTCTATTGGGACCAAGTAGCACTAAATTGGTGACTTAGAAACAACACTGTCAAGGAACGCTATGGACAGAGGAAACATGCAAGAGGAGGAGAGTTTAGTGTCGGAGGTCGTGGATGAGTCTCCTCCATCATCCATTTTTTATTTAGAGGAGGAAAGCGGGGATGAAGATGTTGTGGAAGAGGACGCCAGGGCGTCAGAAGCTTGGTTTGGTGTAGAAGGTAGAAGGCAGCCGTACATGTTTGAGCCCTTGCCTCGCAACGCTGCCAGTTCTGTTAGCTCTACGCCTGCTGAAGACACAGACGTCCATCCCCGTGAACACTGGGACGGAGCTCAATGGGAAAGGAAATGATTCTGATTTCAGCCGTTGCGTATCTTAGCTGACGTATAACTAACTGGCCTGTATAAGATAACAGAAGAAAAAAAAACAGATTTAAAGACAAGATAAAAAAAAAATAGAAAATAGCTTTTAATATAGTCTGATAAAGAGTACATTTTTATACATGTTTAAGCCAGAATGATTTGACATTTAAATATGATTTCCCTACGACTTTAAGGACAGATCTGATCTGGCAGCTTGTAAACGGAGGATTAGCAGCAGCATGTTGATGTCATCCTCATTTATAGTCCAGCAATTCAATGATTCGTCTTAAAAAACTGTAACAACTTATTTCCAGCCTGAAAGGCGAAAATCAAATCCCTACTGGTGCATTGAAAGCACCATTTAAAAACCTTTGTCTTAATGGAAACTAGCTTCATGCTGACCTGATCAAAATGGTGGAGTTTGATCAGATTTTTTTATTAGTTATTTTTATTGCTGTTACTTTCTGCATTGGGAAGCAGTCGGCTGCCATTGTATGTCGCCCGGGGAGCTGTGTGGGGTTAAGGGTCTTGCTCAGGGACCCAGAGTGGCAGTCTGTGGGAGTGGGGCTCAAACTCACCTGTGGATTCCAAGCCTTATGCCCTAACCACTAGGCCACGACTCCCTAGTGGTGTAGTTTGATCAAACTGGTGGAGTTTGATTAGGCGTGACCTGATCACAGTTTGATCAGGACACTCATAATCAAACCATTCCCTCTCATGTAGGACATTATATGGTTTTATGGACAGTTCTGGCAGTAAAATCTTTATCAGGAGGAGGAGGAGAGTCAGCAGGAGCTCCAGGGTTCAAATATCCCATTCATCTTTTATGATGGGCCCAGAGAGGAGAACAGGTGACGACTGAGATAATTTCTTTTTTATCCGGAACACTGAGGGTTTGGGTATTACATCAGCAGCTGCTCTACAACCAGCTTTTCTATGGTGGAATGCTGCCCCATAGTGACCAATGAGGGGATTTTCTCTGCTAAGGTTCTATATCAGCCTCTATCTGCCGAGCAGCTGTTCATTAGACGGGCATCAGTGATGTTTAGAGCAGCAATGCAGCAGCATGAAGGAGGCGGGACAAGGCTGGAGTCCAGGTCACTGAACGGCTCAGCTCGCCTTCTGCTGTGGTTGGATTCTCATAGAGCGCTGCTGGGTTATTCTATGAGAGTGTTTGACAGTTATTTTTGGTCCATTTTATTTGTAATGTGAACATCTTCTTGATTGACTATAAATGACTGAGCAAGCAACCAAGCAAACACAGCCAGTGGAGATTAAATTCACTTCAATTTATTTCTATAGCACCAATTCACAGCACATCATCTCAGATCGTTTATAGAGACAATTTAACCAGATTGGTTCAAAGTGTCTATGGAAAAGCGGCTGATTGCATCGATTCATTGATTCTTCAGCAATCCCTCACAATAAGCATGCTTTTAGCGACAGTGAAGAGGAAAAACTCCCTTTGAACAGGAAGAAACTATCTGCTGAGTTCTGAAATATGGTATTTTCCTGACCAAAACTGGAGACTTGACAGCTATGATCTCAGTTTAAGAACTAATAGCAACCTGCAGACATACCCACCCACCATCTGATATTGATATCCGATATCGTTCAGATATTGACTGAAAAACTAATATTGGATTTTATCGTCTGCATCTAAAATCTTTGATGTTGCTTCTGTTGAAAGTTTCTGTACCTCATTGGCCAATATCAATGTTCTCATAGCTATTATGGTTAACTTTACATATATTGTTTATGAACTCACGTCCCCTACTGGCTGTGTATTAGAATAACGAATAAAAGTGTGAATCTAGCTCAAACTATGGTCAAACAGATAATTCTGCACATATATGGAATAAATTCACCACAACTTCTATTAAACAAATAAGAGTTTATTAACAAAAATCATTCAGCTCAGGCCAAACATATTTCTGTTAGAAACTCTTAACTAAAAACTAGTGAAACTAAACTAAACTCCTCTGTAGAAAGAGGAAGGAAAACATGGTTGGAAACCATAAGCAATGAGACATTTCAATGACATTTGGATTTTAGGTCCTTCCTTCCTTCCTTCCTTCCTTCCTTCCTTCCTTCCTTCCTTCCTTCCTTCCTTCCTTCCTTCCTTCCTTCCTTCCTTCCTTCCTTCCTTCCTTCCTTCCTTCCTTCCTTCCTTCCTTCCTTCCTTCCTTCCTTCCTTCCTTCCTTCCTCTTTTTTCTTTTATTTCTTTCACTCTTTTGAGTCGGTTTCTTTCTTTTTTTTCTTTCTTTTTTCTTTTTCTCTTTTTCTCTCTCTCTTTCTTTCGAGTCGGTTTCGTTCTTTCTCTTGAGTCATTCCCAGGCCAGAACCATAATCCCTCCGGTGTGTCCTCGGCCTCCTCCTGGTGGGACGTGCCTGGAACCCCTCACCAGGGAGACGTCCAGGAGGCATCCTAACCAAATGTCCAAGACACATCAACTGTCTCCTCTCAACATGTAGGAGCAGCAGTTCTACTCTGAGTCCTTCCCTGATGACTGAGCTCCTCACCCTATCTCTAAAGGAGAGCCCAGACACACTACGGAGAAAACTCATTTCAGCATTTTTTTTGGAAACTCATTATTTCTCCAAGGTCAAACAAAAGAAAAAATGTAAAAGAAGAAAATCTAATAATGTTGCCTTATAATGAAATATAAAAAAGACCCATTATAAGGGGGTCCTGCAGTGTTTGCTACCTAAGAGCTGTAGAAATGCCAGTAAGTCTGAGTGAATACAAACAGCTGTACTGCCACCTTGTGGTTATTTCCAGCAGTACACACTAAATGCTGACTGCTTTCAGCAGCGTTTCCTGAAGGTTTCACCTCTGAGGGATGAGGAGTCTTTGTCCATCTGAGCACAGCTGCTGACTCCTGCTGCCTTCTGTTCCTGCAGGCTCTTCATCCTGGGCTCCTACGACAGAGAAACCTACGTCCACTGCACCCTGGAGCTGAGCAGCCAGCGGTGGAAGGAGAAGACGCGCAGCTCCATCAAACGGGTGGGTTTCTGATGCTTCCTCCACGTCCACCTGGACTGTCGTCTAAGCCCCGCCCCCAGACCAGCAGTTTAACACTGAAATCCTGAGTCTGAAAAGTCGTTTTAATCTTTTTATTTCAGGGTAAAGAAATTATTTTAACCCAAACTTGGCCTCCATACAACTGATCTCTATTTATTCACTGGATTGCCTATAACCCGTTGGTAGTACAGGGTTGAAGTGAAGCCACCAGCCGCCATATTGGTACTCACTAGTTAGACCGGTATCAATGTAATCAATCCGTGCGCTACGGCATCAAAAAACAATGATTTTCACATTTTCAGGGGGGCTTAAGTCAAGATAAATCACTTTAACACTCTTGCTGTTTCATAGCATCAGTGGATTACTTTAACTTATAATTAAAAATAGGCACATCACATTGCATAGTCATTATAAAGTCAATGAAGTCTATAAATCATGTAATATAACATATTATACAAATCCATCACAATATATACAATATATCACACATATATATGTATATAATATATATATATATATAGACAACAAGAACAGGGAAGGCAAAGAAAAGTCTGTTCTAAAGAAGCTCATTCAATCCCACTTCAACTTAATAATAATAATTATTATTATAATAGTTGAAATTAATTGATCTCACATCATTTTACCCCTCCCCTTGGGCAGTACTCGCTTTGAGGTTCACAGCTTTACCCTGGATCAAGGTCAAAGCCGCAGCTTAGTCATCATAGCAATATAAGTTTCTATAGATAATACACATCCAGAACGTCTAGAGTGGATAATAAAATAGTATAAATTAATTAGAAAAAAATAACATTAAAATAACAGTTTTCTACATTCTGATGAGTCTAAAATCAGCAAACTTGATTTCTATTGATAGTTAACAGGCTACAATCATCCGAATCAGCTGTGCTGAAGCTGAGAAACCTCTAAAACCGGCAGGACAGCGGCCCTCGAGGACCGACTTTGAAGATGCCTGATGATAGCCATGCCAGTCCAGGGACTGGCTGCAGTTCTACTGTAAGGTGCCTCGGTCAGGCTCGGACTGGGAACAATTTCCGGCCCTGGCATTTGTTCATCTACACCGGCCCAAAACAAGGGAAACGCACTGAAGAACAATAACTTCAACTTTAAGTGGATCAGATTAATCAGACCGTCTGCCAGGAGAAACCTTTCTGATTCTCTGCACAGTTCTCATAAAAACCTGATATCAATCAGACCCCAAGCTGTAGACAGACTGAACCCCCCCACCGCTTCTGACCATGAGAGCTGCTGAGCATCAGGCTTCATGGCTGAACATAAACCGTTTAAAGACGTGGTTTTAAATGCTGCCTTCTAAAGCTCGTCTGCAGCCGCTTGTCACCAGCAGGTGGCGCCCTGCTGTTCCATTCAGATGTTTTTTTATAAAGGTTGAGATGAAGGGACATCAGGGCGGTAGTTAAATAAGCTGTGCAACCTTCTGATGAGTGGAGACCACATGGAGCACAAACGCTTCCTCTTATTGGAAATGATGACCAAGTGACACATTAATAAGAGCCGCAACTCATCTTCCTGCCATTGATGAGATTGTCCCATTGTTGACATTTTACGGAGCGAAGGAAGCCGTCGGCCCTGCAGCTAAAACCTTCTAATTGTTGCAATTTGGAGATATTATAGTGGATGGCATCAGGCCGCTTTGGAGGCGACTAATGAGCATTTTGGAGGGAAATGTCACGCCTATTAGTGGCGCTGACTTCAGCTGAGCCTGTCGCCACTGAGCTGTCCATGCAGCTTCCAGTGACATTTGTCCAACTGTAGAGGATTTATAAGCTGCTGTTGGTTCACATGTCATATTTTCAATAATAATCCTGGTAGGGGACTTATTGAGCAGCAGGGGGCAGCAAAATACCACAACCTGACCCTTTGGCTCTACTTTAAGCAGCCATTTTGAAAAAAACAAGTATTTTTTTCTTCTTCTTCTTTATTATTCTCTGCAGACAAAGATTTAAAAATATAAATAGTGTCTATAAAGAATCAACAGAATCTAGAAACAACCCGATTCTTTCTCTGTTAGTCAGGAAGGCTTTAAAGAGCAGAGAGCCGCTTCTTCAGCATGAAATGAGTCAGACGTCGTTCATGCAGAGTCTCAGCTCCAGGAAATGGAAGTTTGTTTGGTCTGGAAATGATTTTAAGAATGTGATTAAAAACAGCAGCCTGTCTTCATAAAATGTAATTATTATTTTATTTTATTTGATCTTTTATTAGGAAAGCAAAGCTACTATTACTTTTTACAGACCGACTTCCTTCACAATGGAAGTATGAGCAGGAATAACATAAGCCAAACTGGGCTTTTTGTTTAATAACTGAACATCCATAAAAAAAGAGGGAGTGGGGCGGGTCTAGTAGGAATTTTTTTTTTCTATTTTAGGGGAAAAGCACAATTCAATTTAGTTTATTTCTTTAATGAAAATTCACAACGTCATCTCAAGGCACTTTCCAGTTCACCAGATCATCCAGTCAGATTGGTTAAAAGTTTTCTTTCTAAGGAAAACCTGCTGATTGCATCGACTCATTGACTCTTCAGCAATCCCTCACACTAAGCATGCTTGTAGCGACAGTGGAGAGGAAAAACTCCCTTTTAACAGGAAGAAACCTCCAGCAGAACCAGGCTCAGTGTGAGCGGCCATCTGCTGAGGCCGACTGGGGTTCAAGGAGACAGAAGCAGAGATACAAAAAGGCAACTGTAAAATGCGGTCCGGTCCAGGAAAAACACAGCAAGGCAGACGAGCTCCGAGCCAGCTCCCATGTCAGTCAGGAACAAAATTTTGCCATCTTCCTGAACCGGGGTACAATACACAGCACAGCAGTATTTACAAGGACATATTTAGTCCACAGAGATTACTGATTTTACATAGTTTATCTATTTAGACCAGATCTGTAAGAATGATTCATTTCCACCTCGAACATAAAAAGATAGCTTCTCCAGAATGTAAATGTCCTGTACAATATTGACCCAGTCCTCAAATGTAGGAGCTTCAGGCTTTAAAGGAAAAGTCCGGTAAGCAAGGAATGATCAATGGATCATTATTCATACCTAAAACTAATGCGTTTGAGGTGATTAATCAATTCTCCCCGCTTTACAAGCAGAATCAATGGGAACTACTAGACACATCTGCAATCAACAACAATTATGGGTCTTTTGCAGTCACGTGACCTCGACACAAGGAGGCGCCATGTTGGGGGGTAACCTGCCTAATCGCTGCCTAAATGAAGTTCATTTGAGTTCAAGTATTGACAGTAAAGCCGCGATGACAGCGCGATAACTTCAGCAACATGGACATCCACAATAAAAACGAGAAGAATCCTTACAGAGATAAACTCAATAAGGACGCCAGAGACCGGTATTTAGCTAAGCTAACCTCAATTAGCAATATAGATCCGTATGAGCTAGCAGTTAAAGCATGGACAGCCGATCCCTCGCTATTTCCACCAACTACAAATATGGACATAATTTCTTATCTTGTTAATGGTGTTACTGCATAAAAGAATTCTGAAACTACAAATCTCTGGACGCTCATGGACTGTTTACTAATGGTTGGGTGCAAGATTTATACTAATTTCAACCAGAAGGATGCACTAACACTGTGGTCACCACAAAGGCAAGATGTTAGTCAAACTTGTACAAGTCTTCACTTCACAGCTTTATCTAAGTGTAAATTATGGTGCATCCGAACCTATCAAGCGGCAAAAAGCTTCCAAAATTATTAAACTCAAAGTACATAAAGCTCTTTTACATGGTAAATAAATTTAATCTTGTGACCCCTGGAATATTAAGGTTAATAGCAAATATATAGGTGTTTTTTTTTGTTGGTTTTGGTACAAAACAAAATGGGGACAACTGGGACAAAGTTTGTAAAAAACACAACAAGAACGAGCCATTTTAATTTACCGTATTTTCACGACTATAAGGCGCACCTAAACGTCTTTTTTTCCCCTCAAAATGTGGGGTGCGCCCTATGGTGCGGTGCGCCCTATCTGCGGACGTTGTTGAGACCACCATGAGTATGTGAGAACCTTAAAGGGGGAAGTGTGGGCGTGGCGTGTGTATAAAAGAACAGGTATGTGCTTTATGCAGAACATTGTTGTCTTAACAACCCTGGAAATGGCAAAGAGACACACCTATGAAGCCCAGTTTAAACTGAAGGCTATCAGCTACGCAGAGGAACATGGAAATCGAGCAGCTGCGAGAGAATTCAATATAAATGAATCGATGGTTCGCAAGTGGAGGAAGCTGGAAAACGAACTCCGACTGGTGAAGAAGACGCAGCTGAGTTTCCGCGGACATAAGGCGAGGTGGCCCGAGTTGGAGGAAAGACTCGAGCGGTGGATCGTGGAGCAAAGAACGAGTTGGGCCAGCGTTTCAACGGTCACTGTTCGACTAAAAGCAGTAAAGCTGGCGGAAGAAATGAAAATTGAAAATTTTCAAGGAGGTCCATCGTGTTGCTTCCGTTTTATGAAACGGTGCAATTTTTCGCTCCGGACCAGGACTACAGTTGCTCAGCGACGTCCGGCGGATTATGAGGAAAAGCTGGCGAGCTTCCACTCTTTCTGCAGCAAACACATCGCTGACAAAGTCATCCAGCCAAGCCACATCACCAACATGGACGAGGTGCCGCTCACTTTCGACATCCCGGTGAATCACACCGTGGAGAAGAAGGGGACCAGCACTGTAGCGATACACACAACGGGGTATGAAAAGGCGTCGTTTACTGTTGTGCTTGGCTGCCACGCAAATGGACAGAAACTGCCGCCTATGGTGATTTTTAAAAGAAAGACTTTGCCTAAAGAGACTTTTCCAGCTGGAGTTGTTATTAAGGCGGGAGCGATGGATGACAGACGGAGAGCACAGTTTCACTAAAAGTGGAAGGCAGCGCCGGGCAAGTTACGCCACCGTTTGCGGATGGATTGTAGATGCTTGGACTAACGTTTCTGCTGGGACTGTTGTTCGA